CTTGAAATACAAAATGTTTCTTCAAGCGTCCAGTTATATCAGATTCCAAGCACCGCCATAGAGACATTCATTAATAAACAGCTTTTTGTTAAAATAACTTTTCAGCACTAAATGAGTTTTTCACTCCTGGAGTCTGGGTGTGAGGATGTCATCATCTGCGTATCTTATTATAACTAACTCAATGCTAAGAGTGCCGAGATGTGTCTGTACACACACACAAGCAAACACACAGTTTAGAGCAGCGGAGGAGAGTGAGCCAGAGAGTTTCCTGTCGTTGAAAGGTTGAGGGTTGCTCTGCAGGCTTCTAACAGGTGGTTTACCTTGCAGCTGTGTGTGAGCTTGGGGGGGAACGTTACAGGCTCCATAGTAAAGGGGTCAGGACAGCACCTTTCCCAAAGTGGGAGCCGTGAATGTTCCAATACAGTTAACAAAAGCGGTGAGGTTATATTTGTATTTGCATGCCAGTTTTATGTATAACATCTGCGAGTCGGTGACCTTTGAGGTGAGGGTGATGGGTTGAGGTGGTGGTCCAGGGTTATCTAAAAGAATTCACCCTAGAGTATTTGATAAGATACATCATTTCAAAAAGCATCCGAGTGATTTTTGCAGTGCCATGATCAATTATAATTATTCATATTTACAGTAATGTCAAACAAAAGACCATTTTGGCGATTTAGGACAGTCGTGTTTCCTGTGGGGTGGTTTCAGACCTCAGTTTTAGTACCAAAACAACAAGACAACAAGGCTGTTTTTGTGAATTACACATGTGGTTTGTGTCTGCGCTGTCTGTGGCCAGCGGACCATTTAAAAATAGACTTTAGCCTTGGTTTTCACAACTAAGTCAAATATGAAACAAATAGACAAAACCAGATTCAAATATCTGACTTACAGAGGTAGAAACACACAAATGTAAATCAGTGGACGGCCCTCTTACAAATCATTACTTTAACAAATATTTGTTGAATGTGGGCCACACCATGGTCACATTTAGCCCTGAGAGGAGACATGAATTAAGTCTCTCAGATTGAATACACTCTAAGCCTGTGCTGACGCGTTTTTCTACCTTTCAGACAACTCTGCTGTGGGCCGCAGTTCTTCTCTTGTGGTGAACGGCTGCTGCTACAGAGCGTGCACTGGCAGGAAGTCAGTCCAAACATTACAGGAAGTGCACAGACATGTGTGTTTAGAAGACTGCCACAGCATAGATTAAGTGTCACTTGCGATGAAACCACCTGAGCACACTCTTTTTCCGTTAAACTACATAACTGAGAGTGTAAAGTAGGAGGGTGGGTGAAGTATTTTGATACCTGCCAGAGAGCCTTTTACTGAACTGATTTCAAAATAGAAAGCAAAAAGTTGCAAATGCACATCCATAGAGTTCTATGTTTCTCAAGGCAGAATCTTTTCAGACACAAATTTCTCAGTAATGTGCTCTGGATCAACTGCCACATACCTAAAAGAGACTCACCATCTTTGGAGATTAGCGTTTGGCATGCCTTATGAGCCTTTAAGGGTATCCCTAGTTTTCCCTCGACCACAGGTGTCACTACTTCCAAATGTGGTTGGAAATCACATTCTGTTACGCAATCGAATAGAGATACTATCACTATGTAGAAAGTTTTCCATGCCTCCAACCTCCCTCTTCACAGAGCAGGTGCACGGTGGCCTCTTTCGTGTGAGCGCAGCTTTTGTCTCGTTTCTGATGTTTACTCACGTACACATTAATAAAGTCTTTAACCAATTCAAATAGTACACATGTTTAAGTTTTTTTGGTTTCAAAACAATTTATATGCTTCATTTACACAAAAATATCAGCTCCTGCTCCTATGATGACGTGGTATGATATTGGCAAAGAGGTCAAGGGAAACTATCCACAGGGCAGAGCTGAGTGGCATGAGAAACAGAAATCTGCAGCGCTTTATTGTAAAGATATTCACTGAGGAATGAAGCCTCAAGGTGCAATACCTCGGCCTCTGTGCATTTCCCATATGATATTCATTTCCACTATTGAGGTCTAACGTCACATATGAGGTCATCCGTGTCCTGGAACATGCCACATTGTGATCATTTCAACAGTTCGAGTTGTGCTCTCATTTCATGCACTCTGACAGAACTCTGCCATGGCATGTTTGGTTTCTTGTTTGACAAATGACAATGTCTGTGGTTCTGCACATCCCCGTAGGGCCCCATTCAAATGTTTGGATATTGGTCATGTCTCACAGAAGGAAAGAATAGAATACTGTGGCTATAAGACCACGGATGGTTGAGAGGGATGTCTGACGGAGCCTGTGGTGATTTGTAGCCTATGGATAAGATTGATAGTAGATTGTGCATAGACAGACGCATAGAACCAATCCAAACTACCTCTTCTAATCATGTAATAACCAACGTTGTAAATGCTAATAAATATCATTCACAAGTGAAAATAGACTTAGCAAAGTCTCTTTAATATTGTGTGTTGTATGTGCAAATATAACTTATAAATAGCAATTTACATTTGAAGGCACTTTGCTTTTATACTCATTTGTCATGTTGATACATTCATGTTACAGAAGCATGATTTAACAATCTGCAAAGAATAACAGTGATGCTTATAGTTGTTTATAACACAGTAACAAACATTGTCAGATATCACTAAACAAAAATGTTTCTTCTTACTTGCTGTTACTAATAATATTAAGCTATATAATAAACCATTTAACCTGCCCTAAATTGCTGAGCAACAACATACACTTGGGCACTGTCCAGCCATATATGGTTCCCAGTCCGTGCTCTGCAACAGCTGGACATGGTAATGGAAAACAAAATGCATTAGGCATTGCCTCCCGGGACCTGTCACTGCAGTCGTGAGGCTACGGAGATATTTTGGTTTATGAAGAAGAGGTGTAAAAATGTTGGAGTGTGACCTCCCACTTCCTCTGAGGATACTGGCAGGGACAGCACTCTGATGGTGGCCTCAACAGCTGGAATATGTTGCTGTATTAAAGGACTGTTACTGTAAAGTGTTACAGAAGATTTCCGCCAGACTGGAACAGATATGCCACCTTCATACTTTTTTTTACGCCACAAAAATGTTTACTAGTAATGAAAAGCAGCAGTTCCCGAACCTTTTTGCTTCTGACCTCTTAAAATGAAGCAACGTCTACTTATAACCTGATCATCACTAAATGTAAACAGTTCATACAGAGAGTTGTCTGAAGAGATGGGTCATTTGGTTAGAAGACTAGAGAAAGATCTGTTTTTTCTGGTTCCTATCCTTTTAATTGCCTCAGAACTTCTCAGTTTTGTCTTGCAACCCCCTGTCTGGGTCGCGACCCCGTTGGGAACCACTTATGTAAAGTAACATGACCTGTCTACCTGTCTGAAAAACTCCCTTCTGTACAGAGACCATGAAGCTCCCCAAGACACTGTTTGAGAGTGAGCTTCTAGTTATTCCTATGAAAATCTCTCAGGAAGTACTGTTCTCACTGTGACTTATGTGTGAAACTCTGTCTAAACAATACCAAATCATTGGGAATAGGATATTGAACATAATGCCCATTCCCTATCTACTTTTACATTTCAGTCTAGCTCTGAGTATTCATATATCTACTCTGACGAACATTGCACTGTTCAAAGAATAGCCAACAGCAGAGCAGGGAGGTGTGGCCTATTAAGGGTGTGTGCCCCTGCAGGTCTGAACACTGAGGCTTCCTCGTCAGGCCAAGGTGCTCATGAAAGGGGTCCTTTTTTATTTCCAGCCAAGGGCATCAAAAACTGGCAGGCCACTCTTCACACTATCACCAAACCATCTCCCGAGGAGGAAATAGCTAAACATAATAACTAGCAGGCACAAACACAGAGGAGGCGGGGGACATCCCCAGTAACATAAATACAGGTTGAGGTTTTAACAAAGTGAGAATCGTCTGGAGTTGATGTTCATCTTGGTGAGCCCCAGGTGTTTGAGCGGGGTGGACAGAGCGAAGGCAGCCTTCATGGGGATGTCACACAGCAGGTCCGACTCCTCGCCACACTCCTCCAGCTCGTACGTCGCATCGTCCAGCATCTCCTTATGGCGATCGCACACCTGCTCCACTTTCAGCCGGTGGATCTCCCCGCGCAGACGGATCAGCTGACGGGCCAGACGGTTGTCCTGAACCTGCATCTCCCTCTGAGGAGGGAACAGGGGGGTGAGGAGGGAGGGTTGAGGAGAAAATGAGCACCAGTGAGATATATAGTGTAGCCTATATGTGGAAGTTGGATTTGGATGGCTCTCTTATCACAGTATGTAAATTACTGGCAACTGGAATTTACGGGCTGTAGCCTCATACCGTGAGAAAACAGACATCATATTGTTTCACTGATTGCTTGTTTAGGCAGTGAAGACTGCATGAAGTCAGTCATGCAATCCCTTAATTTAAGTCAGGCATTCATGCGGAGCAGATCACTGACACCCAAGAGGGACAAGTGAAGAAGATAAGACATCTATTTCACACATTAGCCTATGCGATTGGGGAAGTCAAGAAGACAGAGAAAAGTTGGCAACTCTTTGCGACATTTGGCTATCTGCACTATAAAATTAATGTATATTGCACTATAATAGATCTTTTGGATAAAATAAAATATAATGCTCAGGAGTCACTCACCAGCTCTTTTCTAAGAAACTCCAAAGCATCATCGATAGTGTCAAAGCCACAGATATTGCGCACAACCACTTCTGAGTTCTCATTTCTCACAGCTGCAGGCATGGACACGACTTGTCCTCCAGAGTCCGCACTGTCTGCGGAGTAACTCTCCGTCCACGGTCGACTCTGCACCCGCTCCTGCCACTCCAGATAGGACGGTCTGCGAGTCTGTAACTTCAGCTTTTCTGTGAGTGCTTTCAAGCTGTCCAGATCCTCCGTGTCTCCCTCGGAGGACTCATCTTCAAACGCTTTGAAATCCATCGGCGCAGTGATGAATGCAGTCCTTGGGAAATAGGTCCGCTTGCTGGATCAGCAGCTGGGCTATTAAGAGCGCAACAGGTCCTCACCTCCTTTATAGGAAGCAGTGACCGCCCATCCCGCAGGGGACAGAAAGGCTGGAGGATTTATAGGCTTAAGGAACCCAGATTCTCTTGAAATTCCTCAGGACCTTGAAATGGGATAAAAAACTAAAGTAGCTATTATAGTAAAGTAGCTACAATAGTCTACATACAAGAAGAAAATGTAGGCTACATGGTTACATTTCACCACTGTGCTGCATTTCAGAGGGAAATATTGTAGGCTACTCGTTCCAAGAGGTAGGCCTACATTTATCTCAGTGCTTTAGTGAAGTTATATGGATAAAGGATAAGGATAAACATGTAACATAGCCTAGTAAACTTTAAAAAAACGCAGAGCATAAAATACTACCAGTGTTAAACAGTATTTAAAAATAGTTCAATGTAGCTCCACGTTGACCAGCTACACCATTAAAATGCTGCTTGCACCCTTGTACATCAGAAATACCAATACAACCACATAATCTAACCTGCAAATACAAGTATAGCCTAATACTTTGAAAGGGGGCATTCTCGCATATGAGTACTTTTACTTTTAATAGCCTACTTGCAGATGATATGTGTGCAACAATTATGCATATTAAGTAAACTACTGAATGTAGTTTACACTGTGACATGCCACTGCAAGTAAAATAGTACTCAAGCACTTCTTCCAACACTGCGCTAAGCCAAAAAAGCAATGCTGTTTGATTTAGATCATCTTTCTACGTTTGAGTATGCTGCCACCTAGTGATCATTTATTATGCAATACGCCCGTTGCCACTGCTTCCTTTCTTCCCCCACACACAACGAAACAAAACTTTTACCAGCAATATGAGACACATGTCAAGTGTTACAGTTTCTCAGGAAGAGTGCACTTCCGTCTTTTGTTGCCTCAAGCAGAATATCTTCCTTTCCAGAGCTGTGTCGTGCTCAGCCACCTGTGTGTGAGAGGGCGTAGATGCATTAGGCCATGTTCTAAAAAATAAAATAAAAATGACTATATATAGAATCCTTATCGTCAAACAAACTGAGCGCAATTGCAGCGATGCCCTACCATCTGAGTGGACAGAGGGAGGGAGTTTGCTTTTTTTTGCTAACAGGAGAGACGAGAAAGTGATTTGAAGCCGCTCGTGAAGCCAGAAGTTCAGCAGAGGAGTTTTCTTTTTCTTTAATTTTATTTGGGTTTGTGGCTGGGTGCTGATGGAGTTTTATGAACATATCAAGACCGCCAATGTGGAGGACGTTGTGCTCCGGCAGCCGCTGCACCCACCGACCAGAGGCACCCTGTGCATCACCGGCCACCACCTGCTCTTCTCGGACAGGGAGGAGGGCAGCTCTCGGCAGGTTTTACTGCTCATCAGGAACATCGATGCCATTGAGAAAAGGTGAGGGATCAGGACTGGAAAAAATGGCATGTCATCACTGCAACAAAATACAAAATTATTGCGTAGTGTAGTCGATCATAAAATGAGGATAGGCTATTTGTTTCCATATTGCCAAAAACATGACACATACACAGGATTCAAAACAGCCTTTATCATGTATGTTCTTGCTTACAAATACGAATTACATCACTTAATAGCATAAGGGGTTTATGGATGTTTTAGCACTTAGTCACACATAGGTGTCATTTACACTGCTGACCCTGGGGACATGTCCCCACCACTTTTTGAAGGCACTTGCTAAACGTTTTCTGAAAATGAGCTTGCAACAAGAAATGTTAAATAAAAATTAAACATTCTATGAGAAAGGTTTACTTGCGCAATAGGAAAACATGCTCTGGAATGTAAATAGAAGAAAGAGATCTGCCTTGTCCAAAAAATGTAAATTAGGCTTAAAAAAAAACAAGCTACTGATTACTGCATTATATTCAATAATTTTTATATTCTGAATTGTCACAGGCCACATGAATTTTGTTTCCCTTCATATAAATAAAGAAATTTCCACCATAAATCGGTGCAGAAAATGTCTATAGAATGCAGGAAATTAGGAGTTTAATGCTCAAAATCTTCTGGGAGAGGACCCCAGACCCTCCTTCGAATACTTCATCAATGAATATTTCTTCTAAATAACATTGGAGTATCTTGTCTTGTTCTCCTGACTCAAATGCATTATCACAGCTCGTGTTTCGTCAATCCCCTAATCTGAGCCCTTAAAAGTCCCCACCACTTTTTAACACAAAGTGACGCCCTTGTAGTCACATAGTTGGTCCAACAAATAACCACACTAATCATCATAACTAATCAACACTCAAAGCTGTCTCTACTGTGCCAGTGAATGCTCCAGTGTCTAATTAATGTCTAATAACATTGTTCCTCAAATCTTTTTTAACCAGTGTGGAAAACCTTTTGGCCTGTTCCAGCCTCTTCTCTAATGCAGGCCACAGTGAAAGGTTGGACATCATTTGTGTTGCCATGTGTCTGCTGCAGCTCTTATTGCCCATGGTGCTGAAATAGGACATTTGCAAAGATTCTAGCAACTCTCTTTCCTCATCCCCGTCCACACACACACACACACACATACCATGTTGTGTGTTGCTTGCTACTAACAGCGTTATGAAAGCCTAAGCATTGCTCAAATCACTTGATACATTTTGTATCTGTCAGCGACAGAGAGGAAGGGTTGCACACAGCAAGAGAAAACCCCCTCCCACACATAGCCCAGTTGACCGGGTTTGCCTTCCTTTCCTTCCTTTTCTGCTGCAAGTAAAACTTTCTGCACTGCTGGAGTCAAAATATGGGGAGTGAAGTGGGCACAGGGGTGTTGTTTCCATTCCATTTAATTAATCTCAGTGGCGTCTTTGTGTTTGTTGTTTGTGTGTAGGATATCTGGATCTTCAGGGACGATTACCATCAAGTGTAAAGATCTACGTGTGCTCCAGCTTGACATACCAGGCATGGAACAGTGTCTCAACATTGCACACTCTATTGAGGTATAATACATAATCTAATTATCCTACTAACCCATGAAACATAGCACACATGGATTAGGAAATCAGTATTTCTGTTCTGAATTCAGCATCCTTGCCTCGTGTCTTACAACAGTCTCTCTTTGACTTTCTCTAGACCCTGTCCTGCCTAGACAGTGTGTCGGAGATGTATCCTTTCTTTTATAGACCTTCTGATCTCAGCCTGCAGGACCAGTGGGGTCTCTCATCCCCTGAAAAGCACTACAGTCAAATGAAGGAGCTAGTAAGCAACATATCGGTCTCTCTATCTTTTAAACTTGTTTCTGCTGTAAAAAAAACAAAAAACGGTCTCACATGCAACTTTTACAAATAGTGATCCTACAGCCAGGAAAGTACCAGGGAAACTGAACACTGGGGTTCAAGATTCAGGATATCCCTGTTGCTTAGCTTTCATTTGTTTTCTGTTAACATTTATTCATTTAGCTGACTCCAAAGGTCAGAGGTCACACCTCAGGAACACGTGTCACAGAGGGGAATTGAAAGGCACACACCAAAGGCATGTGTCTTATCTACTGCTCCATCACCCCCAAAACTTCAGAATGTGTTGCACACAGCCTGGGATCGTGCTTGATAAACAGACACCTTCTTCTGATAAAAGCATGTTGCTATGGTGAGGGGTGGGCCCTGAGGGCAGGATTGTTGTTGGTGTTTTATAGAAACAATGTTCCATGGACATGTAATCTGTAGTTTCCATCAGGCTGACTGTTATTCACCCGGTTAAAAATGTTTAAGCACATCCGTCATCCTACTGTTTTCTGCCACTTCCATAGAAATCTGTGCCATTAACCAACTGCATATTGTAAACTGTAACAATTCCCTTTCTTGTAAAGAACATGTATTATGGGGTTGAGGTTTGTCAAGAACAAGAAGTAGATATACTTTATTAATAATTCAATGTTTTCACTCTGTTATTATAATTATTGTTAGTTTTTATACACAGTTCTGAAACACGCACATGCACAAACAGGACCCATAGCAACACACGGAGAGATGTCAGAGTGAGGCGGCTGCCACTTAGTGCGGCGCGCCGAACAGTTAGGGTTTCAGGGGCTTGCTTAAGGCCTCCTTCAGCAGTGCTACTGCCGCCCAAATAGAGTAAAATAGAGTTTTATATTCACTTACCAGTACATCGTAAGCTCACTAATTAACATATTATATCTTGTGTGTTTAATTCATACAAAAACTGAAGTGAAAAAAACAGGTTTTGTTTTTACAGGAAGTTATGTGCTTGACAATTTCTTGGCTGGCAGCGATGGCTTCGTTATTGTAAGGTTGAGTCCAGAAATCCAATAAATGTGTCATTTTTACAGTTCAGTTTTTATATGGATAAACAAATGAGATACTGGTTCATTAGTGAGTATTAGCTTTAGCATTTTTTGCCTTTGGAAAGAGCAAGTCTAGCTGTTTGTATCTGTATCCAGTATTTGTGCAAAGCTAAGCTTAGGTACCTGTCTCCTACCTGTCTGACTATATATTTATTGAACAGATTTAAGAATGGTGTCGTTCTTTCTCATATAACTCTCAGCAAGAAAAGCAAATAAGTGTTGTTGCTGAAATGTAAAAATATTCCTTCCCTCATCCTCCTCTCCCCCCTCTGTTTGCAGCATGATAGATGGAGACTGAGCACTGTGAACACAGACTACTCAGTGTGTCCCTCGTACCCTCCAGCTGTCATCGTCCCAAAGAACACAGATGACGACATGCTAAAGAAGGTGGCCAAATTCAGACAGGGAGGACGCTTCCCTGTCCTCTGCTACTACCACAGAAAGAATGGCATGGTGAGGTGCTTTTTGTGTGTCTCCACTGCTCACCTACAGTTCATACATATTGATGTGTGCTATATGCTAGGCAACTAAACGATTCTAATCAAACTTAAAATCCCCAGGTAATCATGCGCAGCAGTCAGCCGCTGACAGGAGCCAATAAGAAGCGCTGCAGGGAAGACGAGCACCTCCTCCAGGCTGTGATTAGCGGCTCAGACAAAGGTTACGTTATTGACACGCGCTCCAGTCAGCAGGCGCTTCAGGCCAGAATGACAGGCGGAGGGTTTGAGTCCAAATCGTGTTATAGCAGCTGGAAGAGACTGCACAGACAGATGGAAAGGTGTGTGTGTGTTTGTGTGGCAGGTTTTTAGTGGCAATGGGTGCTGTTCACCATTTTTTTAATCTGATCTGTGCCATCAAACCAACCTCCTTCACCTCATTGTCTTCATATATGTTTACAGGGGTAAAGCACTGCAGGAGAGTCTAATTAAACTGGTGGAGGCCTGTGGTGACGAGTCCCATAATATGGACCGTTGGCTCAGTAAACTTGAGAATTCAAAGTGGCTTTCTCATGTCCAGACTGCTCTGTCAACAGCTGGCCTGCTGGCAGAGTGTGTGGAGAGGTAGGAACTACGCTCACAGTGTGTCTGGGGCAGGATTTACAGTTGTGGTGCACTTATCTATCATTTGAGCAACTGCAAACTGTAGAGCACTATGCAAATAACCCTTTCTAAAAATAGCATTTCACTTCACAGGAAGATGGCAAACCCAAAATAATAATGTGTGCATAGTATAATAATAACATGTTACTATTTAATCTGTATACAACACAGATAGATTACATCTAGCGCATGCAAGCTGCAACACTTGTCTCTTAACAGGAATAGCATATTTTTGTCTATTTTCACCTTAATGTAAATGGGGGGTGGGGGTGGGGGCAGAAAACGAAACACATAATAAAATAGTCTGTTAAAAGACAGTAAAATACCACAGGAATAGGTCAGACATGCATGTAAGGACCAAGTAATGTACTATACCAAGTAATGCTAGCACCAACACCTCTAAAGATGTCAAACCTGTCAGCAGCATTAATAGAGGGGCTTCTGCTTTGCTTAGAAATAAATGTGCGTATGCCTTTTCTTATACATGTGGAAGAACAGGTATATAGCATATCTGTTGGCTTTGTCCAGGGACGGTCATTCAGTTCTGGTTCACGGCTTTGAAGGGACAGAATCCACTTTGCTCATCAGCACTCTGGCTCAGCTCATAATGGACCCATCCTGCCGCACACTGGAGGGCTTCCTGGCTCTGCTGGAGAGGGAGTGGGTACAGGTGAGTGTGTGTGTGTGAGTGTGTGTGTGTGTGTGTGTGTGTGTGTGTAACGACAGATTGGAAAATGTTAAAATGTCTAATTTGCAAATAAAAAATAAAAAAATACAAATAGAACCTCAGAATAGATAGAGACACATAGTATCATTAGTACATCAAATTTTATTTATCATCTAAATAAAATATCTTTTTTATGTATTATTAAATCAGATACAGAATGCCATACCTATGAACATTTTTGCACAGCTTTGGATGGCTTACAAATAACGTTTCTGAGTCTTAAATCATTTTGGGGGATACAAAAAGCTATAAGCATAAGCCCAAAATGAAAGAATATTGAATTTTGGTGCAGAGTTGTCCACTGTTTTTCAAGCACAATCTCACATGTGGTTATGACCACATATCTTGCTAAAAGGATATTGCTCCACTGTCTAACAGGAAATGCCTGTAAAAAATGTTTTTACATGCAGTAGGGTGGATGTCATGGCTTAAAAATCTTTTACCTTTTACAAGTCATAGCCAAAAACTTTCCCCCTCTAATTTTTCAAATATGATCTTTATACATCTTGTTATCCACAAGTGCTCACTATTTGTAAGATCTTTTTAGGCACTACTTTAAGCGTTCTTGGCAACAACAAAAAAACACAAAAACATTACTCTGTTAGTCGACACAACAACCACAACACAATATTTTAAATTTTACAGACCAACCAAATAACCACCCAACACTGGACATTAACACTGATGTTTAATTTAAACAGAAAATAAATTCATATGGAGGAAAGTGGTTGTTCATAAGTTATTCTCAATTTTGCCAGAATGTAAATGAGACGTCCAGAGTTTAAATAACACCGAAAATGAATAAGTAGCAAAATTAGACATGACTGAGTGTGTTTGTGTGTACTGTATGTATGTTTAAATGAATTTGTCTTCTTCTCTCCAGGCAGGACACCCATTCCAGCAGCGGTGTGCCCACTCGGCCTACTCCCATGCTCGTCTCCAGCAGGAGTCCCCGGTCTTCCTGCTGCTGCTGGACTGTGTGTGGCAGCTGGGGCGTCAGTTCCCCCTGGCACTGGGCTTCTCTGAGGCGCTGCTGCTGAGGCTGGCGACTGAGGCCTACGCGTCTAACTATGGCACCTTCCTGTGCAACAGCCATCGGGAACGGTCAGTCGTACTTCTCAGCGGGAGTGGACATTGGGAATCGATGGCTTAAAACAAAACTCAACAGTTTCATTCCTTTTAACTAATCTTTATCTTTACATCCAATGTGTTAGTTACCTTCCACCTCACTCTTCCCTCTCAGGTGTGCTATAGGAGTGATGGAGAAGACTCATTGTTTGTTCCAGGCCCTGTTGAGGCCCAGGGAGAGAAATTACTACTCAAACCCCCTGTATGAGCCCACTGAGCTAGCAATATGGCCCTCGGTGCACCCTCAGTCCCTGCAGCTTTGGAGAGGTACGCTTTGATTGACATGTGCATTCAAACTTTGTCTCACATTTTTGACCTGTGGTTAGTATCAGCAGTGGTGCTCATTCAGTATTGCAGCCCCTAATGTAATCACCGTGCTTTCATTATTTAGTGATGGAAGCTTACGTTGTCGCTAACTTTGATGATTCTAGGATTTTTATTTAAGTGTTAGTGTTGACTCACGCCCATGTCTGACCCTCAGGCTTTTTTCTGAGGTGGACCGAATGTGCTCGTCACCTTGAAGAGGCTCAGGAGGAAATAAGGAACATGGTCATTGAGTGGGGGAAACTGGCACTCAGCTGATGCCCTTTCAGTACATGAACAAGTGAAGATGCTCAGCCTGAACATGTAGAGCATGTTAAGGAGGAATATTACCGATGTGCAATGCCTTTGGACTGTGGTTATTTCAGATTTACCTTCTCTATATTAATGTACAGTAATTGTTTTGTGCTTTGATAAAAATAGAAAAAAAATTATTTGAATTGAGACTGAATAAATTATGTTATTTTAGGCTGTTTAGCCCCGTGCATTTTCACACCATGTGTTTGGTGCTTTAAAAATCACTTACGGTGTGTAATATTTTCTCTGTTTTGCATAATTTCAATGAGGTAATTATTTTCTGACATATGAACTCATGAATATTATCAGTAGAGGAAGGCTGTAAAACTGACACACCCCCCAGTCCTGTTAAGCTCAGCTAAACACTCTTCACAATACAAATCCCTGTGCACAGCAAGTCAGCATGTTTGCACACACGGAGCTTTGCAAGCTGGAGACTGTAGTTCTTTTCAGTCAAGAGCCACAAGCCTTGGTGATTATACAAAGTGGACAAGAACCACATAGCCCAGCATGACTTTCTACGGCTGCTTATTTATCCAGTGGTTGTTGAAACGGTGACCAATCGGATGGTAATGTTAACACTTTATCACTCAAATGCTGTCTTTCAGCTCTTATTTCATAATTTAGTTTAGAGGAATAGTTTTGGCATTACTTTTTAAATTGTATCAGCTGGTTTTGGACCAAGAATCATCTGCCTGGGATTTCTGATTTTGTCAGGACACAGGTAAAAATTATTTTCTGTATTCTATAAAGTTCAACATGTGTCTGTAATGTTATTTAAATACAACAAGCAATGGTTATTACCAAGATGTAGAAGCTTTGTGTCGTCACTATGGTCTGGTCAAGTTCAATTTAACTTTTAAGGACAGCTACTGGACATGCAACCGGCTGTGCGGGTCTGTGTGCCCACTTCGGCCATGCTGGGCCTGTTTTGCCGGGGTTGTCTCAGCAGGGCTCAGAGTTTGCCCGGTCGCAGCTTCAGCTGTTTGCCCAGGCGCATGAGCAGATGGAACAGCCAGGAGGCCTGCAGCCCCCCACCTCCTCAGGAAAACCCCCGGGTCCTCATCACGGGTAATGCAAATTTTCTTCTGTCATGAGCTCATAACTTCCTCCTGACATTTATTTATTCAGAGAAGGATGGACTTTTCCACAGCTACCCATACACTGAACCTGTGAAGCTGCCATTGTTTTCTACCACTTTCACTGTGCTGCCACTGTTTTGTACTGTTGTCCACAGAGCAGTCACAATAGGGGTTGAGTGCCTCACTGAAGGGCACCCTTTAAGGGAGCGAGAAAGAGTTCAAATTATTTCCAAGCAGATCCTATGTTTACAACTTAAATAAAATGCAAAGTGTTCTTAGGAAAGATTGATATTGTGGCATCAACGGCTACAGCCACATGTGCTGTCGTTTTTTGTGTCTTTTCGAGTTGTTTTCAATGTGTACCAGGCCAGCAGTAGAACCCCATTTTGACTCATCACAATAGGTTGCGTACAGACAGTGCTGGTGACATAAAAGAGCCAATGAGTGACTGTGGGTAGAATAATAGCCTGCTGTCACTTTTTGTCCCAGGATAAAGCTTTGGAACAAACAAAAAGCTGAAGCACGGTGCACCATAACATTGATTTCATTTCCATATCAAAATCCAAACATTTCCTTGTTTTCACTGGACAGATAAAATATTCAACCTTGTCTCTGTATGCAGGTGGTCTTGGGCAGTTAGGTGTGGGACTTGCACAGATACTGAGGTAAGGCATGCAGAAATTTCTGAGACATTGAAGTTGATCAAAATGTTTGAAATGTGAATGTCATCATATCTATATTACTGTCTAGGAAACAGTATGGAACAGAGAATGTAATCCTGTCAGACATTAAGAAGCCTCCACCTCATGTTTACAGCAATGGTATGCAAAACCAAATTCAAGTTTCTTTTACTTTGCGTGTTCTGTTTTACTCACACAATTTACATTATTTTCCAATTTACACTTAGAATGTACCGCTTATTTCCTTTCTCTTTAAATCATTCGATTTATTTTAAATTATCTCTCCACATTCTTCCCTTTTCCAATTAGGCCCATTTGTATACGCTGATGTGTTGGACTACAAACTCCTCCGAGAACTGATTGTGAATAATCGTATCACTTGGCTGGTCCACTACAGCGCTCTGCTTAGTGCTGTGGGCGAGGCTAATGTGGCTTTGGCACGCAAGATCAACATCACAGGTGTGCTGAATGTGCACATGATTTACATGTATCACCTTTTTAGGGATTATTGTTTTTAAACTCCCCTTTGATGTTCTGCTGTCCATCTAGGCCTACATAATGTGCTGGACTTGGCTTTAGAGAACTGCCTGCGCATTTTTGTCCCCAGCACCATCGGAGCATTTGGTCCCTCTTCTCCGCGTGACCCGGCCCCTGACCTCTGTGTCCAAAGACCTCGAACCATCTACGGCGTGTCCAAAGTGCATGGAGAACTGATGGGGGAGGTGGGTCAGTCTTGCATACACATGCACCTAATTTTCTGATACATCAATTTGCAAAATTTTCTCAATATCCTTTGCGTCTTCATCAGTATCTCCATCATAAATATGGTCTGGACTTCCGCTGCCTACGTTACCCAGGTGTGATATCAGTCAACACACCACCTGGAGGAGGAACAACAGGTATTGCACCGCTTGACATCTGCACATACCACATATATTCAGTACAATCAGCTTGATGTTATGGACTAAGCACTTCGGACCTCTGTCTTCACAGACTACGCAGTTCAAATCTTCCATGATGCTCTCAGCACAGGTCACCATGAGTGCTACCTGCGTCCCGACACGCGTCTTCCCATGATGCATATCTCTGACTGCCACCGTGCCACCGTAGAGTTCATGCAGGCTCCAGAGTGCCAGCTGTCCCTGCGTACCTACAACATCGCCGCCATGAGCTTCACTCCAGAGGAGGTGGCCCAAGAAATCCGCAAGCATCTCCCTCACCTCAAGGTCACCTACAATCCCGACTCTGTCCGCCAGACCATCGGTAAAGCTTAACACATGTGGCGCACACAGACAAAACAATATTTACAATTTTTTCAACCACTTAAAAAAATGTACTCGTTGGCAATATGGGTCCAATCTACTTCACACAAATCGTTCTTATATTGACAGAGGCGATTGAACAGTTGGTCCAAATTTGTAAGGTTTTGGGGAAAGCAATTACTTTTTACTTTAAGGTTTATGATGTTTTATTTTTAAATGATTTGTGGGATTGATATTGCTATTTTAAACCGATTCATTTAACAGATTAACCAATGTGACGGAAGTAATGTGGTCATCTTTGCTTGTCACTTTGCAGCAGACAGCTGGCCTGTAAGGTTTGATGACTCGAATGCCAGGAGAGACTGGGGCTGGGCACCAGCTTTCGGGCTTGAGGAGCTGGTGTCAGACATGCTATGCTCCATTCGAGACAAGAGGACAAACGAGGGTTTGCCAGTCAGCTAGCGAAACCTGCTCCACAAAGACTGACTAATGCCCTAACCCCTGACTTTTCTCCAGCCTGCATTTACCAACAATACACTTCCTTTCATTTCACTTTCACGAGTTGTCAACCACTATCCTCCGTTACTCTGGAACATTACTATCAATGAGCCAGAGACTGTTTGTAAAGTAGGAATTCTCTGTCAGAACCTCTCAATATATGGTGGACAGTGAGACATACACATGCACTCAAACACACATTTCAGTCTTTTTCAGGGAATCATATACTGTCAAACCTTCTCTTCATCTTTGTTTTTTTTTAATTGTTATCATGGTACACTCACTTTACACATGGGCATGTTGCCACAGGTGGAACAGAAAAATACTTATTTCTCAAGCTTTAGAGATTTCCAGATGTCATGTCAATCGCATCCATGGACACAACAGTCTGTTACAGTGTCTATTAAAATGTCTAATACAGTATGGACCAGATACACATTTAGAGTAACAAAATCTGTTGTACACTTTGATTCCAGGAACATCTGGAATGGCTGGCTCAGTTAACTCTGGACTGTAACGACTCATCATGTATTCTTGCTGTTTTAAAAGGCAGTCTTTTATGCTGTGGCATCTAACAGGAAGCCCTTATTTTACTTTTTTTGCCAGCAGTGTGATTTGGTTATGAATGAGTACCAATAACAAATGAAGCCTTATTTACTTTTGAAAACAATGTATAAACAATGCAGTGTACTTTGAACCAGACCTTGAATAATAAAAATGTTACTCACCCAAACAGCGGTGATTATTGTAAATTGATGAACTTCATGTTTTCTATGTAACAATGTATTGATTATGGTGGTAACTGGGTTGAGGTATTAAGCTACTTTATACTTCTACACTAACATATTTTGGAATTATTGTATTTTTACTCCACATTCATTTTACCACCATAAATACTAAATTCGTATTATACATACTAAACACACAATCAGCAAATAAAACATGATGCGTTGTTATTGATTCAGCTACCTAGCAGTTTATGAAGTAGTAAAAATTGGCCCCACCTCAACCAGCTACATTAAAATGCAACTCACACAGTGCATCAATAATTATAAATCTATAGTGTAAGATGTATAATAATATAACACTCAGGGGGCATTCTGCATAATGAGTACTACAAGTACATTTTGATGACTAACTTAAATAAAGTACAATTTTGCAGAACTTTTAACTTCTGTATTATATTCATCCTTCTCCTCGCCATTACAGTAGATGTAGTGCTTGTTGCTTCCGGCAGAGGCGCACCCGTCATCCGGTTTGCTACTTAAAATTTCACCGGAGCCACACACGTCTTTCTTATCAGCGCCTGTAATACAACTTTTCTCCGATAATGGACGCGGGATTCTTCCGCGTAAGATCTTTACACTTATTTCTAACGTTTTAGTGTCTTGCTGTTAAGTTGTATTGATATGTATTCCTTGTTTATAACAGTAAGATGCTACATGTATTTAGGTGGAGGGCCATATAGTCGGAAGCGGGTACGGTCAGGGCTTCGTCTATCAACTGACGACAAACAATTTTGGTTTTCGAGACGAGTCGTGTTTCAACTGGGCTATTTCCAGAGTTTACATGTACTTAATGTTTACTACTTTATGTCTCAACGTAACGCCATGTTGCTAACAAAACATAGACTTTCAATGTTCATTTGCAGATAGACACAGTTGCAGGAAATAGACGACAGCTGTTGCTAATTTGCTAGCATCGGCTAAAGATGGCGTCCGGGCGGTGAATCGTTTCAGTTTCTTCTGAGGCAGTCACGATCACTGCTACACGAACGTTAGCTAGTACTCCTAGATATGTGTAGAATAACATTTTTGATATCTGGCCATGTCAGTCCTGTTGTCGTGCACGATACCATCCAGACTGTGGTTAATATTTGCCCGTCCGTTTCCCTTGGGCTGGAGGATTAAGCAGGTTTACTGTTAGCTTAGTTTACGTTAGCTTATGTGTATCAATGTCATATCTGACTCAGTTTGCCGGTTTAAATTGAACATTGGTCGCTTGAACAAGCTAACACAAACTTTTAACGCAACCTTTACCATAATACCATGTTTTCTAAATTAACTTTGACTCATTGTTTGGTTCCGATATCAATAATATTACCAGTATGTTAGCTAATATTTAAACTTTTAACGCCACATGTTAGCACAAGTAGCATAACGTTAATGCTTGCTAACTTGGACTCGGTTTTGGTTTCGATGTCAACATGCAGGTATGTTTGAGTGCTGTAACGTCAAGTTCCCGTTCACGGAAGTTGATGTGCACCTGAATTATCATAATGA